CCCCAAAACCCCAAAACCCCAAAACCCCTGCAATCAATAATCAATTTCAATATTCGTGATAGACTTATATAATTTTAGGAAAATCAATAATAATTGCAATCAATTTAAAATAAAATGTCAAGCAAAACAGTCTTTAAGATTTTTGCAAGTTTCGGCCCTGCTGGCTCTATTGTTGCCTTGACTGAGAAGCTGTGCAGAAGAATCTTTAATGAGGCCTATGACCTTGGTGATGCAACATTTTCCTCAAAGGAGGAGTCTGAGATTAAGAAAATACGCTAGGAATTCGTGAATGAGCTCTTCAACTTGAAGGGACCATTCGAGACCAAATCCCAATCACTGAATCCTCTTGTACAGCTGAAGGCTCATTCAGAACTTTACAAATTAATTGAGAAGTATAGGAGAAAGATCACTCAACTTGAAAAACAAAAACTTCACAAAGAGATGCAGTTCTTCTTGGGCGAAGAAAATCAACTCAAGTATCAGCAAGCAAAGGATAGACTCGAGACTATCGAAGAGGATGTTGATGATAACTTAAAGAAAATGGCTTTCCATGTCATGGAACCCGATGTAGAGAAATTCCACGAAGCTGCACAAAGTGGCTAGTATGAGATAGAATCATCCATTGAGGAAAGAATATCATAGCTGCAGGCAGAAGAAATCATGGAGTCATACAAAAGATAGCTTGTTGAGGCAGAGGCTAAGTTCGGCAATAATTAAAAGGTTTACGAAGAATAAATTGAAAAGATTAAAGACAACCTGTTCGTTTAATTCGGGGAAGATGTGCTTGATATTTTCGAAGCATTTAACCATTATGGCCTTGATACTGAAATCACTAGTGATGACAGAAAGAAGTATCCATACTCCCCAAATAAGAAGGATAACTGACTAAGATAACTTAAGTTGCCAACCTATATATTCTGGTTTAATTACGTGAAAGCATAGTATTTAATTTACATTTACTTTAAAAATTGCATATTCTAATTCAGTGGGGTTTTGGGGTTTTGGGG